GGAGGAGGAGGAGGAGGAGGAAGAAGAAGGGGGGAAGTCTCCTTTTTGTCTTAGCTACCATGACCTAAAAACAAGGTCAATTCTAATCTGTTTTCACAGTTTGTGAAAATAAAGGTGAAGAAACATCAGACAAACTACAAAATACCTGACCAGCACTCCTCAACATGGTCAAGTTCAACAAAAACGAGCAAATTCTGAGAAGCTGTCATAATCTAGACAAGCCAAGGAGACATGGCAACTAATGTGGCATCCTGAACAGGACACTGGGATGGAAAAAGGATGTTGGGAAAAAAACCAATTAAATCCAAATAAAGTATGGACATTAGTTAATAATAAAGGCCAATAATGGTTCATTAATTGTGACAAATATACTACAATAAGGTGAGATGTTAACAATGGGAAAAACTGAGTGCAGGGTACATAGCGACGCTATACTATTTTACTATGTTGCAACTTTTCTGTGAATCTAAAACTATTCTAAAATTAAAAGTTTACTTTAAAATTTCTTGATTAAATAAGAAATAACTTTCATGTTTCTAAGCAGGAAAATGCAAAAGCAGGAAAAATACCAATTCTCCCCAAATTAATTTATAAAATGAATGAAATTCTAATCAAAATAAGTATTCTTCTTAGAAGTGACAAAATTATTCCAGTTTATTTATACAAATAGTCAGATGATAATAGCCAAGAAAATATTTCCCCCAAAAAAATTAGTGGAAGGGGACTTGTACTGATAGATATCAACGTGTTTTATAAAGCAATAAGAATTTAAAACACAAGCATAGAAAAAGACATAGAGATTAATGGAACAGAGGAAACAGCCAAGAAACCAACCAAGAATATAGAATTTAGTCTATCATAATTAATTGACAAATAATTTTTTAAAGTGGGGAAGTTAACTATTAAAATTACAAATTAATTTATTAAAAGTCTAAGGGTAAAAGTAAAAAATTATAAAAAAATTTGAAAATTGCAAAAATATAGGTAACATCTCATGGTAGGCTTTTCAGTGTATAGCACAGGCAAGAGCAACAAGGAAAAATACAATTTTCGTGTCCACAGATAGAAAGAAAATTGAAGACCTTACTATATTAAAGAAATCCATAAGAAGTCTTGTACCTCACTAAAACAGGGAAAAAAAAGCATGAACAGAAAATTTACTAATGAATGAAGACATCAAAAAATGCTTATCACTGGTAATTAAAGCAGTAAAATTAAAGCCTATCAGATTGGCAAACAATGAAATAATAAGGAATGATAACACCCAGTATTGACAAAGGTGTGTGGAAATAAACGCTCATACAATGCTTGTGGGAGTTAAATTGGGACACTCTTTCAGGAGGACAAGTTGGCAACGATAACAGCAATAATAATAGCTGAGAGTTTTGTGCTCACTGTGCACAGGCCAGGATCTAAGGGCTTACCATGTATTGAGCCACATGCATCGCATAGCAACCAACCCAGTAAAGGAGGTTGTTAGTATTCCAACTCACCAGTGAGGAAGCCACCGTCCTGCCAGGCCCTCCAAGGCCATGCAACTGGCCGATGGCCGAGGGTGTCAGTCCTACGCGGTCTCATTCCAGAACCTGTGTCCTTGCCTGTGCATAAAACATATGGACGTGCTGTGACCCCGGGATCCTGCTTCTAGGAGTTTACCCTAAAAAAAACGATGGGCAATGTTGAAGAACTTAGATGTATAAGGACACTTACTGCAACAACTGTATTAAAGCAGGGAAAAGGCAATAATGTAAATCATCAGCAATAGAACGCTGATTAAATAAATTGAGGTATATCCGTGCAATGGAATATTATTCAATCATTAAAATATGGTATAGAAGAATTATGTTATCGTTAAGTGGCACTTTAAAATAATAAATACAGAATCACATACTCAAAAATAAACACCAGTGTAACTTAGGCCTACAGACTTATTTTATTTTATATTGATGCTTTCTATATTTTACAAAATGTTCTAAGTAAGCATGCAAAATGTTCTTTGTAATAGAAGGTTACATATACTTTGTTCATTGTTTTCAAATGATAAAGAAGCCCTAGCCGGTTTGGCTCAGTGGATAGAGCATCGGCCTGCAGACTAAAGGGTCCTGGGTTCGATTCCTGTCAAGGGCACATGCCCGGATTGTGGGCTTGATCCCCAGTGGGGGGCATGCAAGAGGCAGCTGATCAATGATTCTCTCTCATCATTGATGTTTCTATCGCTCTCCCTCTCCTTTCTTCTCTAAAATCAATAAAAGTATATTTAAAAAGAAAAGAGAAAACTGTTCCTTTGTTCCTGTATCTGATCTGTCTTCCTTTCTTTGGTTCTGGTTTTCTGTTTCTATTTCATAAACCTTGTAACATCGGTAGTCTTTGCTATCGGTTCGAGGATGGTATATTAGTAAACAAATAATAATAAACAGTTTTTGACTAAAGCATCACAAGAAACAAAGATGAGTTCATCACAGACACAAACCAGTGAATTCCAACTGAAGTCATGAAGACCCCAGCTCTCCCCATGGGCTGCTTCTCAGCGCCAAGGAGATGGGGCCAGTCCCCAGCCTCACCCCAGGATGAGGGGCTGCAGGGACCTGGCCTTCCTTTGCTAAGCACCCTCCCAGCCCAGGACGGGCCCTGTGGAGGGAGCTGAATGGGGGTGGTGGGGGGTGAGTGAACCCACACAGCTTGTGAAAATTGGGCAACCAGTAGTGCTCTGTCTGGCCTCTAGGACCTTGAAGGCCCAGATCCCCAGTTATCTGATTTAAGACCTGCGGTGGGGCAGTCACAAGTGACAGGTCTCCTAAACCACATGGGGTAATGTCATCCAACTTTTGAAGTGTACTGAGCCTGTCCTCCTGCCAGGATGGCCCTAGGCATGTGGCACTTTCTGGTCCATCAAACACACTGATGCCCCTTATGTCATTAGATCCTGCAACGGGCAGCCTGCTGGTGCAGGTGTGATCGCGTTCTCATGGCCACGTTCTCTGCTGTCTTCCCAGCATCCAGAACTGCACCTGTGTTCATTGAACGGCAATGGACGTGGCATCAAATGGATATTCGTGGTAATGTGCTTCATATATTGTTATCCGGCAAATAAAGAAATCAGTACTGCCCTGGCCGGTTCGGCTCAGTGGATAGAGTGTCGGCCTGTGGACTAAAGGGTCCCAGGTTCGATTCCGGTCAAGGGCACATGCCCAAGTTGCAGGCTCAATCCCCAACAGGGGGCATGCAGGAGGCAGCCGATCAATGATTCTCTTTCATTCTCTCTCTCTCTCTCTCTCTCTCTCTCTCTCTCTTCCTCTCTGAA